CCAGCTACTTGAAAGGCTGACGCAGGAGAATCACTTGAACCTAAGAGATGGAGGTTGCAGTGAGCTGAGATTATACCACTGCATTCCAGCCTTGGTAACAATAGCGAACCTTCATCTTAAAACACACCCACACACACACACACACACACACAAAATTCATAGCATTACAAATGTAAAATATGTAGGGATACATTTGGCAAAAGATATAAGAACTGCATACTGAAAACTACAATCTATTGCTGATAGAGATGAAAGGAACTCTAAATAAATGGAGAGACATACCATGTTCATGGATTGGAGGACTAAATATTAGGATCTTAGTTCTCATCAAATTGATCTGCAAATGTTACCTAAACCCAACCATCAAAATCCTAGCAGGCTTTTCTAAAGGAAAGGACAAGCTGATAAAATTCACATGAATATTTTTCTAGACTAGCTAAAAATACTTTCAAAAAGAACAAACATGGAGGGCTAACACTACTGAGTTAATGACCTGTTGTAAAACTATAGGAACTGGACAGTGTGTTATACCAAGACTGACATATAGATCAAGGAAACAGAACAGACAGCCCAGAGTAGATGCCACAGACCCCCGCACACACGTAGTCCATGAATTTCTGACAGAGGTTCTGAGGTGATTTAACAGGGAGAGGATAATCTTTTCACCCAATAGTTCTAGAACAACTGGACAGCCATGTCTAAAGGAATAAAGCCCAACCACATCCTCATACTAAACACAAACATTAACTCAAAATGGATTATAGACCTAAAAGAAAGAACCAAAACTATAAAACTCTATAGAAGAAAGCATTGGACATTTTTTTCTTTTCTTTTTTTGTCTCTTTTTGTAAGACAGAGTCTCCCCCGTTGCTCAGGCTGCAGTATAGTGGTGTGATCTTGGCTCACTGCAACCTCCACCTTCCAGGTTCAAGCGATTCTCCTGCCTCAGCCTCCTGAGTAGCTGAGATTACAGCACCCACCACCATGCAAGGCTACTTTTTGTATTTTTATTAGAGATGGGGTTTTTGCCCTGTTAGCCAGGCTGTTATCAAACTCCTGACCTCAGGTGATCCACCCGCCTCAGCCTCCCAAAGTGGTGGGATTACAGGCATGAGCCACTGCACCCATCCTAGAAGTTCTGTTCATATTTACTTGCAAAGATTAATTTGATGACTAAGCAGCAAACTAATTTATAAAACAATATTAAATATTAAAACCAACTTAAAAAAATTATCTTCCCAGCCACTCAGGAGGCTGATGCAGGAGAACTGCTTGAACTCAGGAGGCAGAGGTTGCAGTGAGATCGTGCCACTGCACTCCAGCCTGGCAACAGAGGAAGACTCCATGAAAAAACAAACAAACAGAACCCTCTATATTAGGAAGTTTTATTAAAAAAAAGTACTATGGGCCGGGTGTGGTGGCTCACGCCTGTAATCCCAGCACTTTGGGAGGCTGAGGCAGGCAGATCACAAGGTCAAGAGATCCAGACCATCCTGGCCAACATGGTACAACCCTATCCCCACTAAAAATACAAAAATTAGCTGGGCATGGTGGCCTGCCCTTGTAGTCCCAGCTGCTTGGGAGGCTGAGTCAGGAGAGTTGCTTGAACCCAGGAGTCAGAGGTTGCAGTGAGCCGAGATCATGCCACTGCACTCCGGCCTGGCAACAGAGGGAAACTCCGCCTCAAAAAAAAAAAAAAAAGAAAGAAAGAAAGAAAAAAGTGGCAAGGAAAACATTAAGATGCCAATAAACACATGTGCAAAGGACATAACAAGAGTCATCCACACAAAGACAAACATAAAACACAGGAGCTCCCATGTGAGACCCTGATCAGTATTTGCTGAAACACTGAATGGAAAATGTATTTCATGACAGAAATGGGGACACATTCAGCCTCAGTTAACCCTGAGTTGGAAAAAACGTACTGCCCATTGAATTACCCACCTCGTCTCCCCCCAGTAAATAATGCCCAGGGCTGGCACGCACACTGGCAGTACACACACTGAGAAAGACTTTCCAGAAAGTGCTATGGCCATGTGACCACAGGGCTTGACCCTGTGACCTCATTAAACCTAAGCAGCTTATAGGTCTGAAGGGGGCTTTCTTTAGAGGTGGCTCCACCTCAGGAGCAGATGAGAAAAAGGAGGGTCTGTACAGTTCTGAAGGGTGAGGCAAGGAGTCACGCCACCGTTTCAGGTGCACAAAGTGTACGTGGCATCCTCACATACCACCTGTCTCACTTTTGCTTTTTCTCTGAACACTTTCCACCAACTGTCTGAAGAACACAAATACTTCTTTTTATTAACTTACTTATTCCCATGTATTAACCTTAGGACTTTGGCAACGTGGGCCAGGAGAGATTGCAAAGGATGAGCCACCAGCACAGAGAGTAGAAATGAAATCTGGGGTTACGAGCTAAAGCCTTACTGACACCCACTTGTCCAGAACGGCTGAAGCTGGATGGTGACTGTCAACAGGTCCAGACTGACTATGAGTGGAGCTGCCGGGGGAGGCCCTGCACCTTCCTGCCAGGACACAAACCACCACCTGCCTCTCAATTCTCCAAGTCAGACCTACGTTTTCTCAAGTGTGAAGCTCAGTAAGATCAAACAGATTGTTTTTTGTTTTCATCACAAGCGCCACTTTCCCCCTATTCATTCGCCACCTCCACTCCACAAGGACTACTCTTGACTGGGCCAGCTGTCCCGGAGATCCTCACTGAGAATTTATGACTCAAACAGGATTTTGTGCTAGCCTGCAAACCTGACTTCTTACAGTAGTTGTTTCAAGGGGAAAATGCTGTTTTGGGACCACACAGCAAGCTGCCAACTGACTTGAGCAACATACACCCACCTCTGAGTTCAAAAAAAAAAAAAAGAAAGACTGTTCGTACTTTGGGAAGCGGAGGCAGGAGGATTTCTTGAGGCCAGGAGTTTGAGACCAGCCTGGACAGCACAGTGAGACTCTATCTTTACAAAAAATTGTACCTATCAGCTAAGTGTGGTGGCACAGGGTTGTAATTCCAGGAACTCAGGGGGCTGAGGTGGGAACCTCAGCTGAGCCCAGGAATTTGCGGTCACAGGGAGCTATAATCATGCCACTATACACACACCTGGGGGACAGAGTGAGGCCCCGTTTCTAACACACACACAAACCTCTGGAGGGGACACCTCCTAATGATGACACTGTTGTCCCGGCTACTGCAGTGGCACCTGTGATCCCCTCACATTGCTTAGAACCAATGTGCTAACACCATGAAGGGGCTGCAAAGTCACAGTGAAGACCCTGCAGAGAACAAACAGGCCATACACAGAAGTTCCAAGGGGACAGAAGACGTCCAGAGGCTTGGGGGAACAATGTGCAGGAATAAGCACTTCAAGGGAGTTATCTAACAAGATGTGAAAGTAACTTACTTCTTTTATTTTTGAGAAGGAGTTTCGCTCTCGTTACCCAGACTGGAGTGCAGTTACCCAGACTGGAGTGCAACGGCACAATCTCGGCTCACTGCAACCTCTGCCTCCTGGGTTCAAGCAATTCTCCTGCCTCAGCCTCCCTAGTAGCTGGGACTACAGGTGTGCACCACCATGCCCAGCTATTTTTTGTATTTTTAGTAGAGACGGGATTTCACCTCATTGGCCAGGATGGTCTCGATTTCTTGACCTCGTGATCCACCAACCTCAGCCTCCCAAGTGCTGGGATTATAGGCGTGAGCCACCGCGCTCGGCCTGAAAGTAACTTACTTCTCAGACAAGGTGGCAGAAGGAGAAAAAAAAAAATCCTACGGCCGGGCGTGGTGACTCACGTCTGTAATCGCAGCACTTTGGGAGGCTGAGGCTGGCAGATTGCAAGGTGAAGGGATCCATACCATCCTGGCCAACATGGTGAAACCCCATCTCTACTAAAAATGCAAAAATTTGCTGGGCGTTGTGGTGGGCACCTATAGTCCCAGCTGCTTGGGAGGCTGAAGCAGGAGAATCGTTTGAACCCGGGAGGTGGAGTTTGCAGTGAGCCGAGATCACACCACTGCACTCCAGCCTGGGCGACGGAGGAGACTCCGTCTCAAAAAAGCAGAAACAAAACAAAACAAAACAAAACAAAACCTTACTTATTAAGGCAAACATGTTAGTTTCAGGCCAACTAAGGTCAAAGAGACATGGAACAAATGAAGAGTTCTGAAATGTATTCCCACCAAGAGCCAAGAAAAATGAAGTTTTGAATGTACAACTTAAGCGTGTTCCAAAACAAGAAAGGAAAAATAACTTGTTACTCTGAATCGAAGCTCAAAGGAATCCCATTGCTTGGGGAGGAGGAAAGGGAGGGTGGGGGTGGTCCTTGGCCTGGGAAGGAAAACTCCACTAGGCCTTCGGAGCTGGGCGCGCCCTATTCCCACAATTAAGAAGAAAACGACCTAGCGCTCAAGGCCGGCACTGACACCTGGGCTGTAGGAACATCATCACAGACTACTGGAATTTTCTGGCAAGTATTGGGCGCTGAATCAAAGAAGTGTTTTTAGAGAATTCCATGCCGATCCTGCTGTATAGAATCCTTTATTCACTACTTCCCCACTAGGTTTGGGCCCCTCTAAGTTTTCACGAGTCAAAGACCCCTCCTGCTCACTGAAACCACCCGCGGAAGCCCGGACACCGAGGGCCTAGTGGCCCACGCAGAGGTGACCGAGCGAGCGCGGGCCGGGCCCGGCGGCCCCACCTTCCCCGCCCCGGAGCGCAAGCCGGACAGCGGCCTTCCTCAGACCCGTCCCCCAGGCCGAGCCTCGCCCTGGGCCGTGCTGGCGCCCAGTTCCGGGCGGAGCGGCGGCCGGTCCGCGCGTCCGCGGCGTCCCCCGCAGGGCAGGTGGGCAGGGCCGGACCGGTGTCTCCCCGCCTGGCCGCACGCTCCCCAGCAGCGATGACCCCAGGCGGCGGGCGACCCCGGGCGGACGGCAGGCCGGGGCCGCTCACTCACCGTTCGTTGCCGCAAGCGCCTGCGGCGGGGACGTCTACATGCCGGACCGAGCCCGCAGGCCCCGCTGCCGCCAGCCGTCGCTACCTGACCCTCGGCCTCCAGGCCGCCTGCTGCCCCATGGCCGCCCGGACCCCGGCGCCAGCGCTGCCGAGCAGCAATGCGCCGCGGCCACCCACTGCGCATGCGCACTCGCCACGCAGGCGCCCCGCCGCGTCGCTGCGCACGTGGGCCGCCCAGCGGAGCTGCAGTGTCCGACGGGCGCCGAGACGTCCCGCGCGGGGCGGGGGACGACGGCCGAGGCGGGGAAGAGGCTGACGGTGCGGACGAGGGGCGGCCCGGGAGTGGAGGCGGGCAGCGGGAGAGGGGCGCGCCTCCGTGATGCGAGTAGCCAGCGGTCGGCGCCCCAAGCAGGGCTCCGGTCCCCACTCACCTGCCGCGTCTGGAGCGCGCCTCCCGTACCGCCCGCCAGGTCTACGCTTCGGCACACCCGGCCTTTTGACCCCAGCTTCTGCCCGGCGTCCCGCCCCCACTCACCGCCACTGCGGGCGGGACCTCCTGAACCACGTGGGCCGGCTCAGGGGAGCGCTGGTGCCCAGCGAGAGGCGGCCCCGCCCGCTGCTGATTCCCTAATTACCGGGCTGTGACGCGGGCGGACCGTGCGGGATTCGGGAACCGAAACCTGGCGGAGCAGCTGCGGCGGCGCTGCGCTCCCTCGGGGCTGTCCTGCGCTTTGGGGAACCGCGCTTGGCCTCACACCCACCTCCAGCGCCCAAGTGCGCCTTGCCCGCTCACCGCGGCCCCAGGGCTCTGCGCCTGGGATCCCAAGGCTGGCAGTGGAGGGAGGACCTAGTGGTCCGGGCCTCCTCGAGGGGGACAGGGGGCGGTGTTTTGCGCACCCCACAGGCTGGACGACCCGGGAAGTTGGAGGCCGCGGCCAAAGCCACAGGAGCTGTCTTCGGAGTGTTTGTTGGAACTGCGGGCCCCACCCAACCCGCACTCGCTAAACTGGTGGCTGCTCACCACTAGCGCCTTCAGGCCTCAGATGTCCCAACAATGTGCCTTGTGCGCAGTTCTCAGCCCTTGGGTAACTGTCGAGTAAACTGGCAGTGCATGCACGAGCAGCTGCTGTAACCTGCTGGCGCCCCAATGCCAGCCACTGTTTTGTTTTTCTGAGATAGGCTCTGATTCTGTCGCCCAGGTCAGAGTCCAGTGACAGGATCACGGCTCACTGCAGCCTTGACCTCCCAGATGGAAGCCATCCTCCCTCCTCAGCTTCGGAGTAGCTGGGACTACAGGTGGGTGCGGCCACACTCGGCAGATATATATATATATATATATATATATATATATATATATAATTTTTTTTTTTTTTTGGTGGAGATGAGGTTTTGCCATTTTGCCCTGGCTGGGTCTCAAACTCCACCCGCCTCAGCCTCCCAAAATATTAGGATTACAAGTGTAAGCCACTGCACCTGGCCCAGACATTGTTTTCTGAGGTTCCTTCTCTGTCTGTACTTCCTGTGTGGATCACCTGGCCAGGGCTCAGCATGGACCTGAGTCCTCTGCAGGCCTTCCCCAAACCCGCATACCTGCTATGGTCGGGCTGCGTCCAGTCAGGACTCCGGGGGCCCGGTACCCAGAGTCCAGGAACACCGACTGGCCGAGTCTTTCTGGAACACACAGCTCTCCAGTCCAGGACCTCAGTAAAGTGCAGGGCACCAAGGGCTACTGGAAAAGGAAGCAATGGCTGTGGGAACTTGAGGGGATTTCTTAAGCTCTGTAATTCCTCCTGGGGTTATTTTGCAAACCCAACTGTTTTGAAGTGACCACCAGCCACACCCACAGAAGTGCCAGTGAGCTGCCCGGTTTTTTTCCTGGTGGGATAGTAAGATTAATTAGCATAATAACGCTTGAGCTGAGTTTTTGGATATGACCATTAGCATAATAATGCTTGATGTATATGGATCACAAACAAGCCAGGCACTGGGCCAGCCCTCCATAGAATCTTCTAGAGTGTAAGCAGTCGCCTGCTTCTGCAACGCCTCCAGTGACTCTTGTAGGCCCAGGTCACACAGCAAGCCGCCTTCGTGTGTCCCACTATGTAGGGAGCTCCAGCAGCTGCCCCCGTCTGTAATATGGAGGCCCTTTGTCTACCCTGGGCCTGGGGACTGCCTCCGGAGAGAAAACAAAACCAGGGCTGTGGCTTCCTTCAGCTGACATCATTGTGCAATTTCTCAGGGCAGGCCCCAGATGTACCTTGAAGATTCAGGGGCCAAGATCTCACACCCACACCTCACCCTAGGTCTGACTGGCAGTAACTAAGGCCAGAGCTGGGAAGGGCACCTGGAATGGGCCTAAAGGCAGTTTTTCTTGGGCTGAGACCAAAGGGAAGGGACTCCCAGCAGCAGGAATAGAAGAGGCCAAGGCTGTTGTGGGGACTGGGGCGGGAATAGAGAGTCCCTCCCTATGGTGCACCAAAGGAGGGTCTGCCTCCAAGAGACTTGAGGTCAGGAAAGTCTTCTTCCTACCTGACCAGGCCCTGGGGAGGGGCCAGCAGTGGGTGGCACCCCTTACCAAGACCTTCATCAGCCCCAGGGCTGCCATTGCTCAAGGCGGCAGTGGACTCTTCACATAATTGGCATTGTTTTTTATATTCTTTAAGGACGGCTACCTTGTTGACTTCAGAACCCCAAAAACCTGGACCCACCCTCTTCTGGGGGCCAGCAGGGATGGGTGGGGTGGGTGGAGGGAGAAGGGGGAGCTGAGGCCATGACGCGTGGAGCAGGATGGGGTGGGCTGGGGTATGGGTTGCTCCGGAGGCTGAGAGGGAAGGGAAATTGACTTCAGGTGGCCTGGCTCCAGTGAACCTGGTGAACAAAGTCTGCCCAGAACCCACAAGGGGGAAGTGGCTGTGAGCCTGGGGGAAGGGTGGCTGGGAGGGACTAAGGCTCCCAGCAAAGGACGTCAGTGTGGCAGGCTATGTGGTCACTCATGCAGCCTCCCACCAGCAGCCAGCACAGGACCTGCCCAGGCTGAGAGCCAGGACAGGGGCATCTGCAGGAGCCAGTGTCTGGAACTGCCCACACGACAGCCTCCTGTTTGGACTGGTTTGGGGCGAGGGACAACCTCTCTCCCAGGACGCCAGCCATGTGCCAGGCACCCTGAGGATTCAATAGTGGAAACCAAAGTTCATCAGGTGTTCACCTTCCAGTGGGGCAGACGGACAAGAAGCAGAACTAGTGGGGCAGGCAGGGGTTGGGGTACAGTTTTGACCACGGGTGGTCAGGGACAAGTGTTTCTCTTGCAGAGGGAGTAGCAGGCCCAGGGCCCTGAGGCCATGTTAGCCTAGGGTGGGTGGGGAGCATCAACAGTAACCACCTGGCACGACTGGGACTCCCCGTGTCCTCACAAGATCCTTACCAAGCAGCTTGCTACTTTTATTGTCCACGTTTTTCACAGGGGAGTCAGAGGAACAAAGGCCAACTAAGTTGTTCAAAGTCACCCAGCAAGGAAAGAAAGGGAGTTGGGGGGCCAGAGCGTAGTGGGAGGGGCCGGGGCGGCCTTTCCTGGGAGCGCTCAGGCGGGCCGCGGAAGTGTCCCCGATTTGCATGGGCAGAGTGTGCCTCTGGCATCCTGCTGAGGGCCAGGCTCTGCTAGGTGCGTGACACGCACGGGACAGAACGGAAACCTTGCCCTCCCCTGCTCAGGTGTGGACGTGCGTGCTACGTGCTGGAGGCAAATAGAGGTGGGGAACTTCATCCCTGGGACATGGCACAGAGGGGGGTGGCTCCGCACCTCTTGGTGAGAGGAGGGATGAGGCCCTGCAGTAAGTCAACAGCTGGAGCGAGCCACAGGTCACTCCATTGCCTGTTTGCTCCTGTGACAGGTGTGCCCGCGTGGGGGGCAGAGTCAGGTGACACGGACACGGGAAGTGTGCCTTGGGCCCCCAGACAGCGGGGCTGCTGGTGGCAAAGGGCTCTGCTCCTGCTGTGGCCGGGTAATGCGATCTACGAACTAGTTTTGTGCTTAAAGTTTGAAAATAGTTGCAGTTCACTCAGCCAGTGTGGAATTACCATCTTCTTTCCACACTGCCTCAGCCAGTGCTGCTGTCCAAATGCACGTTGTTGGCACCCATTTTCATTTCCTGTTTTGCTAAGAAAGCGGGGCAGTGGCCCCCTTGCCTGCCAGGGGACAGGCAGGCTGCCCTAGGGAGGGGACCTCCTCAGCTCTGGCTCTTCCAGGCCAAGGGGAAGGGGCATCAGGCCAGCGGGTCCCAGTTCCGTCACCATGCTGGGTGCCAGGCTAGGATACAGAAGCCAACAGGAATTCCCAAAGGCAGGAAGTGGAGTAGGAGGCGGGGCGGCCCTGCTGAGATGCTCAGCCTTTACGTACTCTGTGCAGGGGCCAAGATAGACCACTGCAGGCCCCGCCATGCCTCCGGGCTGCTGGGCCCCCTCCCTTCCAGGAACTGCCAGCTGGAGAAGCACCTCAGGTACTCTCTAGCATTTAAATTTTAAAATTTTTAATTTCTTTTGACGCCTTCAAGACAAGTTCAACTCTCTAGCATTTTAAGTGGGGCTTCTGTAAGACAGCTGGCAGGGTTAGGGCTTGCGAAGAACTTGCATGTCTATGAAGAACGCATTTATTTCAGGGAGAAGTGGGGGATAAGGATGAAGCCAGCAAACCCTCCCTGTTCAGCCTGCCAATCACACCCACTTCAGCAGCCTAAAACAGCACCAGGTCGCACCACCAGGGAGATGGCGCCATGTTGTCATTGCAGTGGTTGCAGATGGGCACCTTTGGTTGCGTCAGACATACCAAGCACCCTGCCTGGAGCAACAGAGAGTGAAACCCCGTCTCTACTAAAAATAAAATATTAGCCAGGCGTCGTGGCACACGCCTGTAGACCCAGCTACTGGAGAGGCTGAGGCAGGCGAATTGCTTGAACCCAGTAGGCAGAGGCTGCAGTGAGCCAGGATCGAGCCACTGCACTCCAGCCTGGGCGACAGAGCTAAACCACCTCAAAAAACAAAAAACACAGTTTCAGCCTCTGGAGCTGCAGGAATTACAAAGTTACCTTGTGATAACCTTACAAATTATTTAAGATTTTATCTTTTCTATTGAGACAGTTTTACTCTTGTTGCCCAGGCTGGAGTGCAATGGTGTGATCTTGGCTCACCGAAACCTCCACCTCTTAGGTTCAGGTGATTCTCCTGCCTCAGCCTCCTAAGTAACTGGAATTACAGGCATGGGCCACCACACCCGGCAAATTCTGTATTTTTAGTAGAGATGGGGTGTCTCCGTATTGGTCAGACTGGTCTCGAACTGCTGTCTCAGGTAATTCACCCCCTTTGGCTTCCCAAAGTGCTGGGGTTATAGGCATGAGCCACTGTGCTCGGATTTTTTTTTTTTGAGATGAGTCTCACTCTCATCCAGGCTGGAGTAATGCAATCTCTACTTACTGCAAACGCCACCTCCCTGATTCAAGTGATTCTCCTGCCTCAGCCTCCCAAGTAGCTGGGATTACAGACAGCCACCACCATCATGCCCAGCTAATTTTTTATATTTCTAGTAGAGACAGGGTTTCACCATGTTGATCAAACTGATCCACCTTCCTTGGCCCCCCAAAGTGCTGGGATTACAGGCATGAGCCACCGTGCCTGGCCTCACCTTTTTTTTTTTTTTTTTTTAATAAAATAGTGATAAGGTTTTACCACATTGCCCAGGCTGGTCCTGAACTGCTGAGCTCAAGCGATCTGCCCGCCTCAGCCTCCCAAAGTGCTGTGATTACAGGAGAGAGCCACTACACATGCCTATTTAAGATTAAAAAAACTTTTTTTTGAGTTTTGCTCTTATTGCCCAGGCTAGAGTGCAATGGCGCAATCTCGGCTCACTACAGCCGCTGTGCCTCCCAGGTTCAAGTGATTCTCCTGCCTCAGCCTCCCAAGTAGCTGGGATGACAGGCATGCGCCACCACGCCCAGCTAATTTTGTATTGCCTGTTTAAGATTTTTAAAAATCACCAGCTTTGGCCCAGCATGGTGGCTCACACCTGTAATCCCAGCACTTTGGGAGGGGCTAAGGTGGGTGGATCATGAGGTCAGGAGTTTGAAACCAGGCTGACCAACATGGTGAAACCCTGTCTCTACTAAAAATACAAAAATTAGCCATGGTCGGTGGCGGGCGTCTGTAATCCCAGCTATTTGGGAGGCTGAGGCAGAAGAATCTCTTGAAGCCGGGAGGGGGAGGCTGTAGTGAGCCGACATAGCGCCATTGCACTCTAGCCTAAGCAACAGAGCAAGACGCTGTTTAAAAAAAAAAAAAAAAAACGGCTTGGAAAGCAGGGAAGTGGATGGTCCCAGAGCCTGGAGTGGCTATTTGGGACGCACACAGCATACAGCTATGGTCTTCCACGCTCCCATGACTAGTGTTCATTTTTTTCTTACTAGATGCAGTTCTTTTTATTCAGACCAAGAGGAACGCTCAGTTTAGTCCCAAAGAAAGCTAGTCTCTGGAGTAACACAACCTCAGATATCCCAGGGGAGGGAAATGGCAGAAGAGAAAGGTAAGGCAGCTGCCCGTGGAGACTCCCATGGTACTGTGGGCAAGGCCTATGCCTGGCGAGTAGCAGGTAGAGCTCACTGCTCTGCAGGCCTGTGAGGTGGAGCTACTCAGGAACCCCTCCAAGGAGCCAATGTGCCATTTATGGGTTCTGTGATGTGGGCGGGCAAGGCACTGGCATGACCACATCCGTCAGACCTCACGGCAGCAGGGGCAGTGTAGGGATGGGGGCACGTCCATCAACTGAAAATGGACCCATAAATAATCACCAGACCAAAGTCCCTCATGTCAAACTGCTTTATTACATCTTAAATAACAGTACAGTTTAATATAGTATCTATCTTGCATCCAGCTTCCTTGCAGTACACTGACTTTAAAATTAAATACAAAAAGTGGAGAGGGGAAGGGTGCAGAGAGCTCTACAGAGTTGTTTGATGGAGAGAGAAAGAAGGGGTTTCATTTGTATTCTCTTTGCCAGATCCAGGCCTACCGCAAGGTCACAGCACAGTTTTGTATAGAATGTTGCAGAAAACAGGATGGAGAAGCCACTACTGCTGCTATGAAGGAGTGCCGGGGGTCAGGGCGGGGGTCCCACAGAACCTGCTTTCCAAACGCTGCTCAACACTGGTCTTGAAATGAACACCAGGACAATCTGTGCATGATGGGAACGAGCCGCCTTGGACGCTTAGGGCCCTTTAGAATCCATAAAGGAGGGCAGATTCTTCACTCCCCCTCCCTCCTCCTCTCCCTCCCTCCCCACCCTCAGAATCCAACAGCAGTCGTTTGCAACAGTACTTTTGTTTTTTAAAAGAAAGAAAGAAAACAGTGACTTATCCCGCTACCCAAGCGTGTAGAGCCGCGCGCTGTACTGCTTCCGATATGTGCCACAGAGCAGCAACAAGAAGTGGACAGAGCCGCAATGGTTACAACTGTAAGAGGTTACTTCTCAAAAGAAAAAGAACACCTAAGGACTGAGTCCTGTATGCACTTTTGAGCATTTCTACAGCATGCGATTCTAAGAGTAAACCCACCCAATATGGCAAACAATCAAAATTTTTAAAATTTAACTTAGAAAGTCTGAGATCATTATTTTCAAAACATTGATTTGTACATTGTTTCATACACAATTAACTGACTATCCAAGCACAGGACAGGCATCGCTCTTGAAAACAGAGGTTCCTCCTTGTTGGGGGTGGGGTAGTGTTAGGCTTTATAAACTTCCCTCCAACTTCACAAGGAAACCCAAAGTGAGATTAAAAACAACTCAGAAGACAGACAGGATGGGTTAGGAGGAAAGTGGTGCTGGATCTGAGCTCACTTTTCAGCCAAGGCGAAGGACTCTCTGATCACGCATTCGAGACCATCACCACATGTGCTTGGTCCCATGGCTTCTGAACATGTTCTTTTCTATGCCATGTTTGTGTGCAACAATGTTCTGTGACACTAAACAGAAAATTAAAAACCAGGGACTGAATTCACATCATTGACAATGCCAAAGAGGCTGCCCTAGACTCTCTGGTTTTGAGTAACTGCTGAACACTAAGGAATATATTTTAAAAAGGAAATATGAATGCTTTCAAAATCTTGCTACGAACATGACTGAAATTTGGACATGATGACCAGATGAACAAAGCCCTCAGCAGCTTGTTTTGTGTGAATGTCACAAAACAGGGTCACTGGTCTAAAATTCAAATAAACTAGTAGAAAGGTGTGTTTGTCTCACAATTACACTCAAGTTTACCTTCGGGTTAACAATTTTATTATATATTTCCTTTTAAAATTCATTCAAGACAAAAAAGAAAACAAAGACGATGGCCCCAGAAGGAATGCACAATTTGTTTTAGTTTACAGCACAGAGATCCTTCTCTTAATGGGAATTGTGCTCTTGGTTTCAGCAATAAGTGAAGGAAAAAAGATCTTGCCCTTTTGAAGTTCTGAGGGGAGGTGTAGGGTGTCCACGTTAGTACGGTTGGATAGGATATGCTCTCATGGTAATGCGTCAAAGTTGGAATGGTCTTCCAGTCTCCATGGCATCCACATGCTGTTTTAAACAGAGTTGAAAGAAATGTGAAAAGAAGCAGAGTATCTAAGTACAGATACAAGGCAGGTCACTGCTCTTCCCTCCGCTGCACGAGTGTCTGCAGCTGAGGGCACATGACTTCAGATTTCTGTGAGTGTTCCCCACAACACAATTCCAAATCAATGCTACATCAACATTTATCTAGAAACCATTAATCACAACTTCATACGTTCTATGAGAAACATGCACAGCTCTCCTCAGACAAGGGCATTTGGGTTGCTGCATTACCTACTGGCATTAGTTCCAGATCTTGAGGAAACTATCCCAGGACCCCGTCGCCACAGCCATGCCATCGTCAGTCACCCCCAGGCAGCTGACGCGGTTGTCATGCCCAGCCAAGACACCTGGGAGCAAACAACAGCAGAATCACGCCAAAGCCTAGAGCCATCAATCTCACCTGTGTGCCATGTTGTGACGAGGGCAGATGGCACATATCTTATGGGACAAGTCCCAGAGTCCCCAACAGCCAGGAAGGGAGAGAAAGTTGCATCCAGGTGGGAATTAAACTGAAGCATATGGCCAACCTTGTTAAAATTCAAAGGCACACGCACACACATAATTAATAAATCCACAGCCCTTTGCACTGACTTCTCGGTACTCACTTATAAAACCTTAAAAAAGAGGCAAAGACCACAATCAAAAAAATCAAAACCACCCAATCTCAAAGCAATTTAACACGGGCACTTAGGGCCGGAGCTGCTTTTCCTTTGTCTGTGATCCTACAGCCTTGCAACGAGACCCAGAACACAGGAGCAGCAATGGTGGCTGAGACCACTGGCGCTATCACATGATCAGGGAGCCTCCTGTCAACATTCCCAACAGCCTTGGCTTGGATCATCACCAACCAGGAACTCCACTTCCTCCCAGGAGGATCTGAAGGTCCATTTCAGCCGCCCTCCTCCAGCTCCTGCAGCCAGCACACAGCTGAGCACAGGGGCCGGCATGTGCTCTAGCAAGGCCTGCGCTGGCCTCCACAGCCCTTCCACAGCACTGGGACTGTGGGACTTGGTCGGAAGGGCTCTACTCTGGAACCCCAGGCTGGGGAGAAAAAAGACGGGTGTTTAACCAGGAGGTGGGAGTGGCACCCGTCCGGAAGCAGCAGGAATCCCTAGTAACTGCCACGGCCTGTAGCATGCTCCCTGCTTCCATCTTCCCAGGTACTTAGACAAACGAGGCTCAAAGATTCTGTCAGTCTCAACAATTCTCAAATTCAAATGCCTGAATGTTCATTGTTAGTAAAGAAGCCTCATTTTGTATACATCTAGTGTTTTATTTTTTTTTTTACTTTTTTTTTTCAAAGCTACATCTAACATCTAGTGTTTTAATACACGTGGCAATAACATGCTTGCCTTTGATATGTGCTGACCCTCTCCCGCCCACTGACCCTCTCCTGCACCCTCCCCAGCGTGTGTGGGAAGATCTGCTCGTGCTCCTTGGAGTCCAGAGCTGGGCCGTCAGTTTGTGACTATCACGCCTGTTATGCCATGCCACAGTCCCACTGACACTAAAATGCTGCAGTTTATGCAACCACCCTGTGTCCACCCTAAAGATACTATGTGAACATGGTCCCCATGGCCACCTACCTGCCCGGTCGGCTTTGAGTGCATCCCAGACATTGCAGTTGAAGTCGTCGTACCCAGCAAGGAGGAGGCGCCCGCTCTTAGAGAAGGAGACAGAGGTGATCCCGCAGATGATGTTGTCGTGGGAGTAAGTCATGAGCTCCTGGTCGGCACGAAGGTCAAACAGCCTGCAGGTGGCATCGTCTGAGCCAGTGGCAAATGCATTGCCATTTGGAAAGAACTGGAAAGAGAAAGCAAATCAAGACATCATGTAAGCATTCAGAAAGAAATACTGAGAATATGGACTGCTCAATGGTAGGGCTGCAGAGTGCACAGCAGGCAAAGACCAGAAGACTGTGTTCTGGTAAGAACAGAGGGATGGTACCACAGGGGCCTGGGGATGGGAGCTATACAGGGGACTGGGGATGGGAGGGAATCTGCACCGGGGAAACACACACACTGTGATCAGCTTTGCACAGTGGCAGCATCGTAGCCAATGGGGTTTATCTGAGGTGCGATTATTGTGATTATTGCTAATTGAAAACTTTTTCCAATACCCCGGCGTGACGATTTGAAATATAGGCTATTTCTGACATTCTCTTATAGACACTGAATTAAAAAAAAATGAAAACAAAACACTGTGATCTTGGACACTGTGATTACAGTCCCCAAAGAGTACAATTTATTCCAAAGGAATAGTGACAAACTAGTCATCACTGACAGGCAGGCATGTTACTATAGCTGCCAGACATCAGGGCTTAGCGAAGAAAGAGCGGAGAAGGGCTGACCAGGGCAGTGGTTGGGACTGCAGCAGAGCTCTGTCCAACCAACAGATACATCCAACCAAGTCTTCTCACAAGGCCAGGGGCTGGACACTGCCCAGTCATCAGGTGCTGAAGAGGAGGGCAGGTTCCCTGGTCAGCTGTGCCCCTGACCAGTAAGGATCTATAACCAGTAACTGGTGAACTGAGGTATCTTACTGTCACTCCCCTCCAGGATCCCAACCACTGCTCAGCTGTAGAGGTGGGAACAGGGACTGGCACACAACAGACACACCATGAGTATCTGTGAGACAAACGGTCAACACAGGTAAGATTTCCATAGGGAGCTTTCTGTATACCCATCTGTAAATAAGGTTGTGTAAGAATCAGACAAGAGGCCAGGCACAGTGGCTCATGCCGGTAACCCCAGCATTTGGGAGGCCAAGGCGGACAGATCACCTGAGGTCAGGAGTTGGAGACCAGTCTGGCCACTATGGTGAAACCCCATGTATACTAAAAATACAAAATCAGCCAGGCATGGTGGTGGGTGCCTGTAATCCCAACTACTCGGGAGGCTTAGGCAGGAGAACTGCTTGAACCGGGGAGGTGGAAGTTGCAGTGAGCCAAGATCATGCCACTGCACTTCAGCCTGGGTGACAGAGCAAGACTCCATCTCAAAAACAAAAACAAAAACAAAGTTAAAAAAAAAAAAAAAAAAAAAAGGAGAGCGTCTAATCCAGAAAAGTTTAACACTTAGCAATCCGAACAGCTAGCAGAGCCGGCAGAGGCCCCAGCCTCACATCTTCACCCAGACTCACGCAAATGGCGTTGATGTCAGACTCGTGGCCGGTAAAGGTCTGCCGGCACATGCCTTCTCGCACATCCCAGAGTTTGGCTGAAGCGTCGCAAGCACCAGAGACGAACAGTCTGGTGTCAGGAGCAAGAGAAAGGCTCATGACATCTCCAGTGTGTCCGGTAAATGTGGTCGTCTGCTGGCCGGTCTCGATGTCCCACAGGGCACTGGAGCAGGGGCGAATGACAAGTGGACATCAGCCTCACCTTCTTGGGTGGCTAGTCATGTGACAAACTGTCCTTCAATCCACCCAGGACCACAGCAAGCCTCTGCACTGTTACTTAAAAAATGCAAATTGTTTCAAGACAAATTCAAATGCAATACAACTCTGGAAGGGAAACAGAGCAAAGCAAGCAAAATTATCCAGAGAGGAGCACAGGGCCTGGGCTTCAGAATGACAGGGTCACCACCTCAACTCCGACACCAGCAAGCAGGGAGCTGAGACACTTTTTAAGCAGAAACGTCGAGGCTGTGCCATACTCTTAGGTCACGGATGGGCATAGAGGGGTAGCAGGAAGCTATGGGGAACCCATGCGTGGCAGAGGGACGCTCCTCCACCTGTGGCTGCTCCCTCTGTGCCTGCCCCCCGGTCCCCCTTCACAAGGTCTTAGAAAGGCAGGCAGGAGAAGGCAATGCCAGGTAAACAGTGGCTTGGAGCAATTCTGAGGTCCCCTTGTCCTTTCCTGGAATCACAAACAGGAGACCAGCTGAGTTCTCAGTGGTCATGGTATTCTACTGTGTTTCCGCTTAACGGCTGTCAAAAGGTGAGACACCTGACAGTGCCCTGCACAGAGCAGAAGCCTGGTGGTGTAAGGACAGCTATGAGAGCCACATGCTGGCCCATGTGTTGTTCCTGTGCCTTGACCCCATGGAAGGCAACACCAGTGAGCACTGTCCATTCATGTCAGCCTCAGAGGAAAGCCTAGCTGGGCCTGGCAGTGTGAATCCCATCAGCCAATCTTAACAGAAACCACACAGGGAGTCTCCTCTCTAGGGCCTGAGGGACTGCAGAAAAGGAAGGAAGATAGGTTAAGAGTCTGAAAAAAATGATTAATGAACAGAAGCGCTTTAAAAATATCTTCTAATAAATAATAAATCTCTTCAAGATTTGACAATCTGGATGACAGATCTTTTGTAAATCTACGAAATGTATACAAGGACACCTTGTAACACCACGTGGAGACGCTTTGCAGACAAATTGGTTAAGGGCAGTCTCAGTGAACCCCACCAACTGTGTGACTAGGGGTCTGTGCCCTAGCCTGGGCACAGCTCCTGCCACCAAATCAAGCCTCAGAAGATCAGAAAAACCCACAAGGCCACCTAAAGTCTAAAATGACTCTCATAAAATAACTCTGGTCATTTAATTTATGTACTTTGATGCCACAAATGAAAATATTCTAGGGTTTATTTAAGTGGGCTTCTGTTTACCTGTAAGGTGAAAACTCTAGACATGAAGTCTGACACAATTCACCTGAACTGTGTTATCTGTTATTTTTAGGCCTCACTCACTGTTTGCAATAACATGGTGCTGTCAGAAAGGGACAATTGAAACTCACTCTCCTCTCACCTAACACCACCCAAGGAAGTACAAATATACACAGGGGAAAAAAGGAAGAGCAGGCACTTAGAGCCTGATTGTACTTAAAATATCTCTATTTCAGTTCTTAGCTGCTGAAAACTGAACTTTGTAAATCTATTAAAAGTATAATGCGGCTGGGTGTGGTGGCTCACGCCTGTAATCCCAGCACTTTGGGAGGCCAAGGTGGGCAGATCACCTGAGGTCAAGAGTCCGAGACCAGCCTGGCCAACATGGTGAAACACCATCTCCACTAAAAATTCAAAAATTAGCCAGTCATGGTAGCTGGTGCCTGTAATCCCAGCTGCTCGGGAGGCTGAGGCAGGAGAATCATGTGAACCTCGGAAGGCAGAGGTTGTGGTGAGCCAGGATTGCACTATTGCACTCCAGCCTGACTGACAAGAGCAAAACTAAATCTCAAACAATAAAAAGAAAATGATATAATGAATTCACACGTTGCTACTGTGTGTTTTAAATCTTAAGGTCACTTAAAGATGGCCTAATAATTCATGTCAAGAGCCTTATTTCCTATGTGTTCACAGAGGAATATGCCAGGGGCTGCGGGGTTCTCAAGGCACTGCCTGCTCCAGGTCAGTTACTTACCATGTGGTGTCTCCAGAGCTGGTGACGATCTGATTGTCATCCAGGAATCGGCAGCAGGACAGGTAACCTGGCAAAGAACAGGCCTGAGTGATGACCCGAATCCAGCAGGCCCTGCATCCAGTTTCATACATAGAGAAACCCGCTGGCCGGGTGAAAGCTCTATGTCTCCTGGCCGGGCACGGTGGCTCACGCCTGTAATCCCAGCACTTTGGGAGGCCAAGGTGGGTGGATCACGAGGTCAAGAGATCGAGACCATCCCGGGTCAACATGGTGAAACCCCGTCTCTACTAAAAATACAAAAAATTAGCTGGTCATGGTGGCGCGTGCCTGTAATCCTAGCTACTCAGGAGGCTGAGGCAGGAGAATTGCCTGAACCCAGGAGGCGGAGGTTGCGGTGAGCAAGATCGTGCCATTGCACTCTAGCCTGGGTAACAAAAGCGAAACTCCGTCTCAAAAAAAAAAAAAAGAAAGCTCTATGTCTAAGGTAGACCAGCACTGTGCTAGTGACCTTTTGTTCTCGTCTGCACAGAGCAGAAAGTCCACACACAATGCTGGCGAGGGCAAGAGCATGGCTGGGCAAAACAGCATCCCACAGAAACCCACAGCTCCATGATAGGGGCAGGAGCAGAAACCACACCCATCTTTCATCTGCTTTACTGTTTGACACATCAAAGGCTGGGGATTCCTCATCTATTTACTCATTTTGGGGAGCTGACCCCAGTGCCCAGGAGGGTGACCCTCTAGACACCTGGAACACAGTCTTAACAAAACAGACACCTCCTGCTCCCTAACAGCCCATGCTCCAGCGCGGACAGAGAATGAGAATCACTGAAAGAACACATCAGAAAGTGAGTGCTAAGGGAAGGAAGAGGGCAAGGCAGGGCCTCACAGGATGGGAGCCAGGAGAGGAGGGAGGACGAGAGTAGACTCAGGGAAGAAGGATGCAAACAGAGGACCCAGCCAAAGCAGGAGGCGGCAAGGCCACAGGGTCAAGGTGGTACGGGCCTGTGGGTCGTAGAAGTGACAATGAGGGCAGGAGGAAAGCGGCATGGCAGCAGCACCTCAGACATGGGGGTGCTCTTGAGTATGTGTGGATTTTCCTTGGGGACAGCAACTGTAACACTCCCCATCAGTGTGGGCACAATTCTGTGTCTCTGAGTATTCCCACCCACCCCCACTAGGAAAGAAGGAAGGGTCAGAGGCTAGAGAAAGTGGATATAGTGGGGACACACCAAGATGCCCCCCTGCAAACAACTTTCAAAATGCCCTAATATTTCCTGTATCTGCAATATCCACACATGATGACTGCATATTAACAACCTCTGGTCACCATTATTTGTTTTGTGCACTGATCACAGTTCTAGTATTTACTGTGGAACGAAAAGTATAGTTGTATGCCCAGGGCTAATGACAGCCTGGCCCTAATCTGAAGATTCAGGGGTCCCAGTGGCACTGAGGATTCTTAATCTGAGTGTTTACTGAAATGCTTTCCTCCGACTACACCCCAGGGAGTCCTAAGACACTGTGTGAATCAGCAAACAAAAATAAAATGCACACAAAGAAGAAACCCATTGAAGGTTTTAAAGTGGAAAGTATAAAATTACAGATAAAACAAAGCATTTATTTAACAAACATTATTTATTTATTTATTTATTTTTGAGATGGAGTCTCACTCTGTTACCCAGGCTGGCGTGCAGTGGCATGATCTTGGCTCACTGCAACCTCTGCCTCCTGGGTTAAAGCAATTCTCCTGCCTCGGCCTCCCAAGTAGCTGGGACTACAGGTGCTCCCACCACACCCAGCTAATTTTTGTA